CTCAAATCAAACTCATGCTATCATATACTCATCATGCAAACTCGTGCAATCATATACTCAATATGCAATCTCGTGCAATCATACTTGATATACAATCAATTGTATGCTCATTATGCAATCTAGTGCAATCATATACTCAATATTAATCTAGTGCAATCATACTCATTATGCAATCTAGTGCAATCATACTCATTATGAAATCTCGTGCAATCATATACTCAATATTCAATCAATCATATGCTCATTATGCAATCTAGTGCAATTATATACATTATGAAATATTGTGCAATCATACTCATTATGCAATCTCATGCAATCATACTTGATCATGCAATAAAATGAACACGATGCTTTTAGTAAGTATAGATAGATATACATATACACTCTTTTGTAAAAGAATACTATTTCTTGTGGAGGTTTCTTAGAGTCATATGACTCGCTTTCTTTCTCTTGAGTCTCTTGACGCGATTGCTTTCTCTTGAGTCTCTTGAAATTAATTTCTAAATGTGCGTCGTGACGGCCCCGAGTGTCCGAGCCTCAAGGTCCCGCGAGTCCCGGTCTGAAATAACACGTAGCTGAGCCACAAGGGCCCGGCCACTGCACAGCTCCTGCTTAGCGGGGCTTGAAGACCCCCACCGCCTGGAACCGTCAAGCGGCGGCCTAGGGCCACGGCTCTAGCCTAGAGCCGTGCCCTAGGGCCGCTCCTCCACGGGCCTAGCCAATGACTCCTCCCTAGGGTTGTTGGCTAGCTCCGTGTCTCATCTAGTGCACACTGTGTTGTGAACCAGTGAGCTTCTTCTTCACTTGTAAGACATTTCCAGGCAAATAATCACTCCCAAATAATCAACAACACATCATAGCTCAACAATAGATCACTTACTAGCTCAAACACATAATATTCTAGGATATCTATTCATTTCAAGCACAAAACAATGACTTCACAAAGTCTAAAATAACTTTGGGAGTCCATGGGGTTATACCTTGGTAGACTTCTTCTCTTTTGGCTGGGATTCCACATTCTTCCCAAGCTAGATACACCCTCCTTCACCTCCTAAACAACCCAAACAAACCAAAACAACATCCTTAAGACTAAATCCTCAGAGATAGGAACTAAGAAGGAATTGCAGTGAAGGGGTAGAAGGCTGAGACAAGGAGAAACTTACTGTAGTTTTCCTTTTGATCTTGCAGAGCTATTGTTGGGGAAGCTAAGAGTGGAATCAAGAGGCAATGGTCAGGGAATGGTTCATTATATAGTAGCACAAAACCCTATGATGATCTCTCATGATTGGTGGAGGGAAAAAGTGTAAAGGCTTGGCTAGAAAGTTGCATCAGACAAGCTCTTGGAGTGGTGTGGTTCACCATGCTTCATGGACCATGGTCCAAAATCAGGATATTAAAACTAGTTTGGGGTTGAAAATGAATTTTCCAAAAATGATTTCTAGATAGACACTTGATTTAGGCTCCTCAGATTTCTCTCGGTTTTACTCAGATTAAATTTTCACTTCAGAACTTGCATGTACCCGAGAACTTAGGGTTTTTGTTTCAAATCATGTTCTGGTGTTTGAATTTATTTAAAAGTGGCACAAAATATTTTATTCTAACACCGTTTTCATTGCAAAAATTTTTATGGATTGAAAAATGGCTATTTTGGGATTTCTTAAAACCGAATTTATAAAATTAAATTTCGGGTTGTCACAGATAGCCCTTTCCCCTGCGGTCAGTGCAGTCGCACCAATAGTTATACAAATATACACCATCCATGTTAGAAAATGCACACCAAAAAACATTCACAAATTAGGAGATGCAATTAGGTACGCATCACCAGAACGCACCATTAGGTATAAATACAAGCACCACACAGTGTTTGGAAATACACCATTGGGTAGTGAGTTATATGGTGTATTTTTTGGGTGTGTTGTGTGTTCTTTTGGTGTATTTGTGCATTTCATTGTTGTACTTTTTCCTAACACTATTGGTGTCTTTTGTTAACACTGTTGGTGTATTCTGTCAAGCAACCGATATAAATGACCTCTATAATTACCATAACACCCCCTACTTACCAAGACACGCTTAAATCTTCAAATATTCATAAATTAACCGCCGCCGTTAGATTAAGCAGAATGGACGATGCTGATATGGCCGCACCAAAAGCCCATGTCGCATTTGAACTTATATATATATATATATATATATATATATATATATATATACACACACACACACGTGTGTGTATATTATCAAAAACTTAATTGTAATAATTACTAAAAATATTCAACAAACTAATGTTTAATTGTAATTATAATTTTATTATGATAATTGTCAGCTTAATTACCATAATAATTATTAAGTAAATATATTAATATTGTTCAATTATACGATTATACCTTAAGTATAAAATATATATATATATATATATATATATATATTAAGGTATAATAAAGTATGTGAAAAAAATAAATTAGCATTCTTAATCTTCCATGTAATTACTATAGTAATTTAATGCTAATCTCTCTCTCTCTCTCTCTCTCTCTATATATATATATATATATATATATATATATATATATATATTGGCTCCTGTGAGAACAGGTCTTCCCGTGCGGTCAGTGTGGCATACACCATTAGGTATGCATAAATGCACCATACATTGTTCGAGAATACACCAGAATGAAATGCCAAAAAATACACCACAAAAAAAATAAAAAAATACACCACACATAATGGTGTATTTTCAAACACTGTGTGGTGCATTTGTGCATACCTAATGGTGTATGTCGCACTGACCGCACGGGAAGACTTGTTCTCACAGGAACCTGACCATATATATATATATATATATATATATATATATATATATATATATATATATATATATATATATATATAGATTTAGGTTCTCGTGCGGGTGAGGGCTTCAGGTGCGGTTGTGCAGTTTAATCTGAGCCATTCATCTCGCTTTAATCAACGTCCAGGATTATCAAAGTTTAAAAAAACGCGGTGGTAATTTTGTAATTTTTGCATTTAGGTCAAAATTAAGGTGAGTGGATCTGTGATTAATGTGCGTGAGTTTTGTGCTCAATGTGCGTGTGTTTTGTGTTTAATGTGCGTGAGGTTTGTGCTTAATGTGCGTGGGGATGTGCTTATCTTGAATAGTTGTTAAAACTTAAAGTCTGTGAGTGAATACTTAAAGTGCGTGAGTTTTGTGCTTAATGTGCGTGATGTTTGTGCTTAATGTGCGTGGGTTTTGTACTTAATGTGCATGAATTTTGTACTTAATGTCAATAGTTGTTGAAACTTAAAGTCTGTGAGTTAATATTTAAAGTGCGTGGATTTTGTGCTTAATGTGCGTGAGGTTGTTCTTAATGTGTGTGGGTTTTGTACTTAAAGTGCGTGAGTTTGTGATTAAAATCTAACACTTAAGGTGCACCTTAGCTTATACTTCTTTGTTCCAGGCACGCGTTTTTTTTTTCAATTTTCATTTATTTGTGCCGTTGATCTAAATTTGATCAACTGCTCAGATTTAACCGCACAACCGCACGGGAAGCTATACCCGCACCTGAACCCTATATATATATATATAATCTAAAAATTAATTGTAATAATTAAAAAAAATTACCATAATAATAATTAGTCAAATATACTAACATTCGTGTAATTACCATAATAATTATTATTAGATTTTTTGTAGTAATAGCTCGGGAGAGAATATTAGTAGTATTGATCGGGGAGCACTGACAAAATATTACATGAGTCAAGCCTTTTACGCAAGAGAGAGCTTCTATACTATACAATTCAATATATTTTTAAAAGGATCTTGTATATATAGTGGTGCAAATTCACTTCCCAAATCAATGTGGGACAAAAGCTTTTATAAAGCCTTTCCACCTAACTTAAATGAGACTACCTTGAGAATCAATTTCACAATTACCCATTATCCGTTTTTAGCGTACAATATATTAATCTCTTCGTCTCACTACGAAGAACTCGAATCTTGACCCAATCCAAATCGGGAGTAGACCCCATTAATATTTGTACCAAAAAATAGACACTTTTAATGTTATTTTAAGCTATTTTTTCAACAAAATAGACTGTCGACCTATAAATTTAGGATAAAAAAATAAAATTAACTCGAAATTAAATTATTAGTAAGCAAAGATGGTTTTTATGATAGGAGAGCTAGTATTAGTGTGTGTAAATTACTTTTAAAATTGAGAATATTAAATCATGGTACGTATGAGTGATGTATGGTAGGGTGGGTAGAATAAAATTTGAGTGAGTTAATTGGAATAGGATTAAGATTTATTTAATTAAAAAATTTGGGAGGCCACGGAGGAGTAGTTGAGAATCGTCTCATCCACCTCCCATACAGCTTTTTTCTGATAGTGATGTGTTTTTCACGCCGACCTTGAAATAAATATATAGATAGGGGAAGGAAAATTGAAATTGGAAAAAAAAAAAAAAAAACAAAACAAAAAACAAAAAAGAGGATCCAAAATAGATGGATTGGGGGTTTGAACCTGACGTGAATCAAACACATAACCTTCTAATCTGGAGTCAGACACGCTACCATTGCGCCATGGATCTCATTGCTCTTTTATGTTCGACTTATTAACTTATACGCATCATTGTGTCCAAAATATTGTATGCGTCATCTAATATAGCTCACTGTCAATTGCAGTAGGCTCAATCAGTTTTTACGTCATCAATGAGTATAACAATTTTACCTTAAATAATTAGGCTATGTAATATGATGACACATCTATTTGGTTATCTCTCATTTCTAACCTATTTTATACCAAAATATCAAAAATCTCCATTAAATATCACATCAAAATGAATATTTTCAACATATTCTTAGACCAAATTTTAAATTTGATAGAAGATCTAGTTGTGCGTAAGTTTGTTAGACGCTAACAACTACGAATTGTTGTAAAGAAAGATATGATCAAGAACATGGAGGAGTAGCTGAATCAAGCCGTGAATTTGACAAATACTTTCAGGAGAATAGCCAGATTGAAGACACTTGGCAGCTTCTCAGCACCTCAGCAGTTAGATCAGCAGTTAGGACTGTAGCATTGAATCTGTTATGACTGTTATCCAACCGCTTTTCCCTCTCTTTTTCTTATCTCTGTGTATATATGCTCTCTGTAAAAGAAGCTTGAAAGACTAATGAGAAAGTTTCCTTTGTTCCACCCTTCTCCTCATTTCAATCTGTAATATGGTATCAGAGCGGTTAGGTTAGGAACCCTAACTTTGCTTCGATGGATGCGTGGCCCCCTCTCAACAGTCGAACAACACCAACCGAGAATCCAATAGGGAGTCAAGCGCCGAACACGATGCCCAATCAGGCAACCAATGCAATTCCTAAGACAACGCCATCCTCCTCAGCTCCGGCGATTGGATTGAACACCGGCGAGGTAACCTTCGAACCTCGGACGCAATCCAATCCTTACTATTTGCACATAAACGAAAATCTGGCCTTAGAGCTGGTCTCCATCCCTCTTGATGGAACGAACTATCACCCATGGGCCAGGGCTATGACCATGGCCCTATCCTGCAAGAACAAGGTTGCATTTGTTGATGGAACAATTACGAAGCCTTCCAGAGACAATCTGGAAAGATATCTCACTTGGGAAAGATGCAATAACATTGTAGTTTCATGGATTGTGCGTACTTTGTCCCCTACGATTGGTCGTAGTGTATTGTGGATCGACACAGTGTGTGGGATCTGGGATGATTTGAGAAGGAGGTTCAGTCAGCAAGACTTGTTCCGGATAGCAGAAATCAAGTGTGAGATTTATCAAACCAAGCAACATGATAACTCACTCAACGAGTATTTCACTAGGCAGAAACTCCTATGGGATGAATTATGCATCCTCAGGCCTATAATTCATTGTAGTTGCAGTACATTATGTGACTGTGGCAAGAAAATAGAGGATTTGAACAAACAGGCAGAAAGAGATAAACTGTCCATATTTCTCATCGGTTTACATGATAGATACACAGCAGCCAGGAATCAAATTATGCTAATGAGACCCTGCCAGATGTCAATGAGGCCTACTCTATGGTTGCTCAACAAGAGAGGCAATTTCACATGGCTAGCAGTGGTTTTGGGAGCCAATTATATCAAGCAGGGGAGAATAGTGCCACTGGGAATGTGTTAATGGTCAGGACTGATGCTAATTTCCAACCAGGCTTCAAGAAGTATTCAAACACCAATAAGAGACCTGTGTGTACATACTGTGGGTGCACATGCCATACCCAAGATAAGTGTTACAAGAAGCATGGGTACCCCCCCCCCCCAGTTGGAAGCCAAGGCTCAGTAAATCAGGTTCAAGTCCCATCAGCATCCCAGTCCAATACTGATGGCAGTGTGTCCTTCACTCAGGAGGATTTTAAGAAGTTCTTGGAGTTCATCCAAACTAGAGGACCAGCTGGTGAAAGTATGAATTCTCCTCTGGATCAGCCCTCACAAGTGTTGATCAACACTGTGTCATCTGACGGTATGATCCCTTCAATTAATACTGTTGATGGTAACATTAATGATTAGATCATTGATAGTGGTGCCACACACCATATAGTGTGTGATTTGATCTTACTAAGCAGTCAGAAAAGGTTTAATAATCTTCATGTTAACTAACCAAATGGTCAAAGAGCAGCAATTACTTTCATTGGTTCAGTTCATCTGTCAGATAGTCTTGCCTTACATAATGTGCTCTATGTGTCTGGCTTTCATTACAATCTGATCTCAGTAGGTTATTTTATTCAGAACACCAACTACACTATAAAGATGTTCTCTAATCAGTGCATCATACAGGATGCTATCCTTGGCAAGGTGATTGGAAGAGCTGAGCTGCAAGGTGGACTATATCACCTAGTTTTTCCTGTTTCACATTTCATCTGTAATTCTGTTTCAGCCACCAACAAGTGTGTTGTATGGCATGCTAGATTAGGCCATGCATCATACTCCAAACTTCAATTCTTGAAGGGGTTAGAACCCATGATACATGTTAATAAAGATTTGATTTGTGACAATTGCCATTTTGCAAAACAGAAAAGAATTCCTTTCCAGTCTAATAATTCTATATCTTCTAAATGCTTTGATTTGTTGCATATGGATATATGGGGACCTTACAAGACTCCTACTATCCATGGTCACCACTACTTTCTTACAATTTTGGATGATCATAGCAGAGCCGTATGGGTTTATTTGATGAAAGGGAAATCTGAAGTCAGAGGACTAATTCCCTTTCATAGCAGAGCCGTATGGGTTCATCAAATCTCAACTGTTATGGGTTTATTTGATGAAAGGGAAATCTGAAGTCAGAGGACTAATCACTTAAATTCCATGCAAATCTGCCTGATCAGTTTTGGGGTGAATGTCTACTGCATGCAGCCTACATAATTAATAGGCTTCCATCCACTGCCATTAACAATCAGATTCCCTACCAAGTATTAATCAAGAGATCTCCTCAATACCAACACTTGAGAGTGTTTGGTTGTTTAGCTTATGCTACTACAGTTGGGCCTAGGTCTAAGTTTGATGCTAGAGCCAAGAAGTGCATATTCCTTGGTCATGCCAATGACACAAAAGGATATAAAGTGTATGACCTTGTTTCTAAGGAATTACACATTTCCAGAGATGTTGTTTTTTATGAACATGTGTTTCCATTCCAACAAGCTGATGATCCAGGAAGGAGGGTCTCCCAAATTATACTTCCCACCATGAATAGTGTACTTCTTGAAGCTCATGAAGCCTTTGAAGCTAATAGAATTCCCCATGCTCAAGGATAAGACAGTAACATTAATGATCAGGCCTTAACTCACCATGACATGATCTCTGAGCAGTCACCAAATGACACACATGATCAGGAGGATAGCCATGAGACCTGGTCCTCTCCTCACAACATTGATACTCCTGAGCTTGGTGAGGATACTCCTGAACCTGGTGAGCCCAATAACATACAAATTTTCCTACCAGAGGTCCCTCAACAGTAGGTCATCAGAAGATCCACAAGACACAAGAGTGCTCCTGCTTACCTGCAAGAGTATGTTTGCCACAATGCAGAAGTAAAAACATCTCCACATCCTCTGTCCAAGGTGCTACATTATGGAGGATTGGCACCACACTTCCATTCCTTTGTTATGAATATTACATGCCTATCTGAGCCCAAGAATTATCAAGAAGCAGTCAAGATGAGTGTTGGAGAAAGGCTATGAAAGATGAGATTAGTGCCTTGGAAAGAAACAACACTTGGCAATTGGTGAAGTTACCCCACTCTAAGAAGTCCATTGGCTGCAAATAGGTATACAAGATCAAGCATAGAGCTGATGGCACAATAGAAAGGTACAAAGCAAGACTAGTGGCAAAAGGTTATAATCAGATTCTTGGAGTGGATTATTTGGACACATTCAGTCCAGTTGCAAATATGACCACAATTAGAACATTGTTAGCAGTTGCAGCAGCAAGGGACTGGCATCTTCATCAGCTTGACGTGAATAATGATTTTCTAAATGGAGACTTAGAAGAGGAAGTGTATATGCAACTTCCTCTTGGGTTCTCAGGAGCTGAAACTGGGCAGGTGCGTAGGCTAGTCAAGTCCTTGTATGGACTGAAGCAGGCTAGTAGGCAATGGAACACCAAATTGAGTATTGCCCTACAAGACATGGGTTTTCATCAAGCCATGGCTGACAACTTCCTTTTTACCAGAGGTAAAGAAGACTCCTTTATAGCCCTATTGGTCTATGTTGATGACATTGTGCTAGCAAGTCCTGATTTGCAGATCATACAAGAAGTAAAAAGCCAGCTCAATATAAGATTCCAGATAAAGGATCTAGGCCCTCTAAAGTACTTCTTTGGTTTGGAAGTAGCCAGGCAAAAGAAAGGTATTGCAGTATGTCAAAGAAAATATGCCCTTGAGCTTCTTGAGGATACTGGTTTCACCAACTCAAAACCTGTCTACAGTTCTACTGTCCCCTCACACAAGTTAAGCAAAGATGAGGGAGAGCCACTTGAAGACAACAGCCAGTACAGGAAAATTGTTGGCAAACTCCTCTATTTGACCATCACAAGGCTTGATATTAGCTTTGCTACACAGTAGTTATCCCAATTCCTTGACAAACCAACCAGCTTACATCTACAGGCTGCACAAAGAGTGCTGAGATATGTCAAGAGTGCACCTGGCCAGGGGTTGTTTTTCCTATCCAATTCAGATCTGCAGCTAAGATCTTTTTCAGACTCAGATTGGGCAGCATGTGTTTATACAAGAAGGTTTGTGACTGGTTTTTGCATTTTCTTGGGAAAGGCTTTAATATCATGGAAGTCTAAGAAGCAACCTACAGTCTATAAATCTTCATCAGAAGCAGAATATAGGGCCCTAGCAGCAACAACATGTGAAGTCCAATGGTTGTCTTTCCTTCTTGATGAATTTGAAGTCAAAAACACAAGTGCAGTGGCCGTGTACTGTGATAGCAAATCTGCCATTGCTATTGCTCAGAACCCAGTGTTCCATGAGAGAACAAAACATATAGAACTTGACTGCCATCTAGTCAGGGAAAAGTTAAGCAAAGGACTCATCGAATTATTCCATATTGCTTCTGAAAACTATCTTGCAGACACTTTCACAAAGACTCATTGTCCTAGCTCATTCAACTCTTATATTTCCAAGCTTGGCTTGTTGGATCTATACAATCCAGCTTGCGGGGGGATTTCAAGAGAATAACTAGATTGAAGACACTTGGCAGCTTCTCAGCACCTCAGCAGTTAGATCAGCAGTTAGGACTGTAGCATTGAATCTGTTATGACTGTTATCCAACTACTTTTCCCTCTCTTTTTCTTATCTCTGTGTATATATGCTCTCTGTAAAAGAAGCTTGAAAGACTAATGAGAAAGTTTCCTTTGTTCCACCCTTCTCCTCACTTCAATCTGTAATAAATACTTTGATAATTTGGGAGAAAATGAGATGGAATAGGAGATTATTAATTTTATTTTCTTGAAGTTATATTTTATTTTTTCGAAATTCTGTTGTATTTGCTAATATAAATATTATGCCATATGTATTTTAATTCTTATTAGGTTGTAGTTATGTTG